GCAGCCACCACACTGCGCCCACTGACGCCTTCCCGCCTCACCACACCAGGGCTGAGGAGAGCTGCGCTCAGCAGCCGCCTCACCTGTCTCACGCGGCTTTGTGCTTTGGCGGGAATATCGCCTCTGGCAACAGCACACACTTCCACGAGACCCTTCCCACCAATATCCTGCTCCATTTTGTTACCGTGGCACAGAGGGGCAGGCTGACAAAATGGCACTTGGCATGGAAACACAGAGGAAGCAAAGAAGCATCACTTGAGCAGGAAAATGGCACCCACTGACTTCCATCAACGCTCACTGAACCACAACTTCAGGTATGGCCCGAATTCTGCACAAGTCTTCATTGTTAATATCGAAGTTCACAGTTGTTATATTTTTTACAAATCTAAACTGCTTTCCTCAAACTGAGGCTGTGTTAACATTGCCTCCTTACATTAAGGAGAGGCTGCACCAATGCAAGTGTGCTGCCAGGCCCTGTGAGATACTTCAGTCAAGCAAACACAGCCTTAAGACAAAAAAAAAAAAAAGTTTCCAGCACTGCAATCCTGACCATCTCTCAAATACACTTTTCAAATACCTTAGAATAATTTGATCTTTTTTATTCCCCCCCAGAAACAACTTTCTTTAAGGTCAAACGAAAAGATGGCCTTGTTACTCCATTGGAAAAGTCAAATACATATAGGAATATAAAGCCGATCACAATTTTTCCTTAATTTTTTTTTTCCTGCATTCTTTTAAATTCTTTTATGAAGTAGACAAATAAGCTGTTATTATTAGTAGAAAAACAGGACTGGCAAATATCACCCAATTCAACTGATGGCTTTATTGGGAACAGCATGAGACTAAGTGCCCAGCGATGTCTGAAAAACATAAGAGTTAGTTTTGTTCGGTTTTCTTTTTCATAATTGTACTACACAGAAGAAGCTGATGTAAGAGACTGGGGGCAGGTGAAGAAGCAGGGACTCTTTGGCTGAGTGGATGTATTACATTAATTTCTTAATATGTGAAGGAGTGGATTACCCCTCTAACAGCAATGGGAAATTAGTTTCTTTATTTCTTCATTAAGACTGTGGGAGGGAAATTAATTTTCTACTCTGGTTTTCAAAATTAATTGAATATATCTTTATTAACATGATAAATATGTACACATACTTTTTGGTTGAAAGAATTCTCTAAATTAATCCTAAGCAGACATTTCCCAGGCAGTTTGGTAGCACATAACTTTCTGTTTAGTTTCCTAACATTATAAAACTGATTTCACAAGTCCAATCTGTTAAAGCTACCTATATAGAAGAAAAGCATCTCAAAACAGTTTTTCTAGACTCATTTGTGCAGTATCAGTTGAATAGCATATTATTTATTCTTCACTTCTTCCTACTCCATTATTCTTGTACCTGCATTCCTGCAGCCTAACATGCACCTAAGTGTTTATGTTTTCATGCATGTAAGCGTACGCAACAGAAATTGTCTTTTGATTGCTCTAAAAGGAAAACATGATTTCTGAAAACATAACCCACTTAGCTGGAAAAAAGGGTCTAGATTTGCACTTAGATGAATTTGCAAAACATCTCCAATTGCTCACTTCATTTCCTATGCAATGTCTTCATATCTGTATTGTACTTCCTATGATGTACTTCCACCACTGCATTGTGATATTATGTCCTTTAGAACTCTTCTAAATACCAATAGCTTTATTATTTAGTCTCCTATTGCACAATTACTACAATCATTTCACCTAATATCTTTCATAATCAAAAATGTGAAACACAGAACTTGGGCCTTTTGAACCAGAACACCAAACCAGTGGTGATTAGCAACTTTCCAACTTCTTGTATAATCAGTTAAAGACCAGATAGTTTAGAAACCAGCATGCTTTATTACACATAATCTCTGGACTAAACACAACCATATCACAGCAGTCTTGAAGAGCTTATTTCACAAGGAAAGGGAGATCTGTCAGTCCGTTGAGACCACCAAGTCCTTCAGCCTCTTTTGGCTGACAAGCACAAGAAAACTCCTAACAGAACATCTTACAAGTTAATTTTCTCAAGTATGAATCAAATGTATTAATCAGGGAGTATAACTTATTGTCTCTCTTTCAATGAGCATTACATTCCATGTTATTTTATGAGTCTCTGTCTCCCTGCATAAATAAGTAATCCTGTCTAAAGCAATACAAATAAATGCAAGGTTACCTCCATTTCTTTTTTCTTTTTTTTTTTTTTTTTAAGTTGGTTAACAACTTCAACCATCGTTCACAAAGAACTACTGTATCAATCATTTCTTAAAGTCTTAAGAAACGATTTAGAAAATGATTTCTGTGAAAGGGTGCTGCACTTTATGTAAGCTGAAATACAAACTCTAACCACTACCACCACCTCTCAAGTAAAAGCCATGCATTTTTCTGTCTACACTAGGAAATAACATCTTCGTGTTCACAACAAAATGATAAGTACGAGGCTATGAATGCAGAGGATCAAACTACCTTCACAGTCTTTGAGAAACAAGAATATTTAAGGACTGTCTCAAGTAATCACCTAGATCTTCCAAATTATTTTCTAGCTGATAATATCATTTATGTGCCAGAATATATTGCATTCATTCTCTAGGTTTAAAAAATTTAAAAAATGTTTTTTAAGTTACACACAAAAGAAAAACATCCATGTGGTCAATGTTAATTTACCTTTGCAAAAGAGTTCTACAAGTCACCTCTTTTATATGGGCTCCATACCAACTGAGTTCTGCTGAGTTCTTTTAATTAAACTCTTCTCCACGAGAAAAGGCAGAGACAGACTAGAAGTAAAAAAACAAACAGCAGGGATAAGTTGCAACTGCTCTCCTCCCTAGGAAGTTAATAGGAAGTTCTTGTTTGGTTTATTAAACAAAGGATATCTTAGTTATAGACATCAACTACAGGAATTAAACGTACAAAGTTTATACTGAACAAGAAAAAGACAGTCTCAGAAGCATTAACACATTACTGTTGAACCTGATTAATGCCTTTTAACAAAATAGATCTCTTTGAAAACTGCTGACAACAGCATCACAAAGTACAACTAGGAAAAAAAAACCAGAACAAGTTCTTTACTTGTTTTGATAACTAATTATCTCATTATTAGCTTGCTAGAAAACTTCAGTCTCACATGCTAACCATAGTTTAAAAATACAGACTGTATACTCAATGAATATTTGTTAGAATTACAAAATAAACAAGAGAGTTTGACAAAGCAAACAATGAAAACAAAAAGAGAACAGATAGAAAGCTCACCCCTACCCTGGGCTCACTCACAAAACTCCAGCAGAGCAGATCTCCAGAAGAGCTCCTTCCCCACTGGCAGCCAGCTCTTCAATAGGTCTAGGAGGGGTGGAGCCAGGCAGCACAGGTGAATTGCCTCCACCTGTGCTCCTCTGGCTGACTCATGGCTTGTCTCAGGTGGTCAATCAGAGGTTCAGGCTGTGATTTAGCAGTTCCCATACAGAAGTATACTCAGACTCCTGGTGTTGATACAGACTCAGTAACCTTTCCCCATATATAGCAAAGAATTTGCATGAATGGGGCAACAGTAAGACATGCTTGTCACATTGTAGGCCCACGCACCCATAAGTCAGATTATAATGGCACGGTGCAAATGCTATGAATGTTTAGAATACAAAAACAATGCTCAGACTTCCAGCCCAAAGTTGTCTCTTTCCTTCTTACCCACGTGAACTTCCCAGATTAAAAAAAAACGGCAGCACAGCTAAAGGTGCCACAACAGTTGTGTAGCACATTACCTGCCTTCGTGAGACGTCTCAACAATTTAAAGGATCTATAGAATCATTTATTCAGCAAAGGCTAGTTCATCATGTTATGGGAAATACTGAGTCACGGCCTGAACATCTGATTGACCACTTGAGGCGAGCAATGAGTCAGCCCTGGGAGCACAGGTGAAGGCAATTCACCTGGCTCCACCCCTTCTAGACCTATTGAAGAGCTGGCTGCCAGTGGGGAAGGAGCTCTTCTGGAAATCACTTCTGCTGGTGTTTTGTGAGTGAGCCCAGGATAGGGGTAAGCCTTCTATTTATTCTTTTTTTGTTATCATAGTCTGCTTTGCTAAGCTCTTTTATTTGTTTCATAATTATAGCATCTTAATATTTATTGATTATGCAATCATTAAAATCATTTAGAGGCTCACTGTTTTAAATAAACCAAAACCAGAATGGCCTGTGTTGGAAGGGACCTCAAGGATCACAAAGCTCAAGCCCCCTGCCATATGTAAGGCCCCCAACCTCCCCATTTTACAGCAGCCCGGCCTGCTCAGGGCCCCATCCAACCTGGCCTTGAACACCTCTAGGGATGGACAGGGCATGGAGGTAGGATTGCTTTTGTTATTGATGTGCTATTACAAGTGCTGACATCCACTGCTCAGAAATTATGGTTAACAGTGTAGATGTTCAGAACTAAATATTCACGTTAGGGACACAATTCAAGTACAGTTGTGTGTAACAGACTGAAGAACAGCCTGTGTTTCAGAAAGTGAAGTAGGGTGAAGAACCCACCGGGTGCACGGCCTCTGAGCTCCACTAGAGGGGCTCGTTTAATTAGGCAACAGCGTAGTTCCTATTCGAATGGGGAGAGGTTCTATCTGCAGTTTATCGCACCATAACCGATTGGTAAATACTGCACAGTACGAGATGCTGAGTGAGAACTACAAGAACTTCGCAGTTAAGAAGCTGCTCGGTCCTCCGTTCTAAGGGCTTTCTGTTTCTCATTCCAACAGGTAGTGACTGGGCACTCTAACCATCCTAGCGTTACCTGATAACCAACAACCTACGCTGCTCTTTTTGTGCACGCTTCTGCTCTCTCAGGGCTCGGCCGTGCAGCGAGCGCACACGCAGCCGCACCACGGAGCGTCCCGCAGGGCTGCCTCAGCCCTTCCCCGGCCGTGGGACCGCCCCGACGGGGCGCAGCCGGCGGTGCGGGGCGGGTGCTGCCCTGGTGTGCACCGCGCCCTTTCCAGGAAGCGCTCAGCGCTGAGGACGGTGGCGGATGGTTCCGGGCAGCTGGCTCTCGGCTCGGAGCTGCGGCGGGCAGGTATGCGCGGCACGGCGAGGGCTCTCTTTCTCCTCGTCGGGGCTCTCAAGCGTCCCCTCTTCCGTGGGTCATCGCGGTTGTTTCAGTGGCGCGCGTTGCTTGGAAGCCCGCAGTTACCTATGGAGCGATGGGCGCTGCCTCAGTCCCGCGGCGATGGCCGGCCCCGAGGCCCGTCCTGCCCCAAGGTCCGTCCGGTCCCGTGTGCCCCCGTGCCCCCACTGCGGGCGGTGGGACAGCCACGGCAACGTGTGCGGGGTTACGCAATGGCACGCAGGACCTGTTCGGGTCGTGAACGTCGTGTAGACACTTGCGTTGGATTACTTCATGTGTGGGACTTGTTCGGGCTTCGTCATTCGGGAGGTTGCGTTGTCAGTGCGTTGAGGTGCGGGTTTCTGTCGGGCAGGTACGCACCATGCTGGGGCTGCTGCTGCTGCTCTGCCAGCTCCAGCTGACCGCGTCGAGGTTTCTTCACCGCGTACAGAGGCTGAGCAGCCCGGAGCAGCCCGACGCCACGCATGGTAAGGCACTGCCAGCACGAGTTTGTGCTTTCCGGAAAAATAGCCATATCTTCTTAACTTTGTTTCTCCTGAGTAATCTTTTGATAGTACTTTGTTTGCTCCGACACGAACGCCCCCTATTTATTTCCTTGGAAACGACAACAGATACGAAGACCACAGTAACACTATTTGTCAGAGCAAATTCTCAGCTACAAAACACTGTTTTTCAACGTAGTTGCTACCATTAACATTCTGATTTCAGCAGTGATGAACAGGAGTTACTTCTGTGTCAGACTGCTGCTCTGCTGCCATCTATCACACGGCAACAAAATAGAGCAGGATATTGGTGGAGAGATTCAACCTCTGCTGCCATGCCACCAACGTCCACCTTTGATGTTGTGGACATACACCATAAAATAGGAGGCGTTACTTTTGGAGCAGCCACATTTTGAGTACACCACATTACAGTTTTATTTGAGTGTCTAAAACTCATTTGTATTGAAAGGGTTTATTTGCTTGTTTGCTGAGACTGATATTTTTCCTCAATACCATATCCTTTACACCACCTTCAAACAAAGCACAGTGCTGCTATTGCAGTGCCTTCGTTTGGAAGGTAGAAATCAGTGATGTCTCCAGGAAGGACTCAAGTCCTTGTGACACACGTGGGATACTGAACATTTCAGTGTCAGGGCTTCATAAGTGAATTTGTAAGATATCTGCCCTGTCTTCTCAGTGAATGAGGAGTGCCATGACCCTAGCACAGGCTTGTCAAAGCTGTCACATAGAGGAGGGGACTCCTTCAGGGCAGCAGGTCGAGCAGAAAAATGCTGAACACAGGTTATTCATTAAAATCTGTTCTGCTGTGGGGCAAAACAGAGAGCTGCCAGGCTGCCTCTTCCTTATGAGTTCACAGCACAGAACCCTCCCCTGGCAGTAAAAAGGCCCAGATTGCTCCAAGGTAGAGCTGGAAAGCAAGGGGCTCTTTCATCCAGTGTTTTAGCAAGCAGAACAGTTGCCAAGAGTGTGGGGTACCTGCAGTGAGAGGTTACACCTTCAGCATCTTCTGAGCATTTTACCACCAGAGTGACTTTATTCAGCACATTGTGTGGATGCATTTTTAATTAAATGTGCTAAAACTGAATTTACTATCTTGTTATACTGTGGCTCCGGGACTGCAGAAGTGCATCTAGCAGAGAATTCAAATTCATCTGTTTCATTCTCCAAATACTTCCTTAATCGCCAGGTCATGTGCTATTTGGAGGTGGAGACAGGTATGTATTGATTGCATCCTACAAAGTGATAAAGAGAGCAGATAAACAGATGAATACTGAGAGAGAAAGAGCTTGTATCACTGGGATTTATTAGGGTTCTACACTTCACATTCCTTAAAATGCAGCAATTATGTAAGATAAGTGGGAAGTATAGCTAATGTTGCTTGCAGTAAGGAATGAAGCACTTCCTAGCAAAACCAAAGATCTGCTCGCTTATTCAAATGTGATTTGCAATGAACCAAAATATGGATAATATAGTATTTATTGTAGCATTTATTGTAATATTGTAATTGTTTTCCATTTCCATTTTTTCTTGTCTGAAGACCATATCTCTAGTTACTGTTACTTACAGCATCAATATTTTAAGCATAGGTTATCATGCGACTACTTAAGTAAAAGATGTCTTCTTACATGTGCATCCTGTTCCTTCTATCCATGCTGTAATATTTCTTCATTACACTGCAATATTAAAAGCATGAACAACCAATATGCGGGTTATACTTGCATTTTCTTAGCTTACAGAGAACAAAATGTTTTGAGATAGCGCTGCAAGAGCTATCTAACTATGAGGGTAGAAATTCCTGAATGATATGATAATCCAGCAAAACAAACCAATGAGAACACAGCTAATTTGTAGCCAAATACCTTTATTCTGAGCCTCACCCCCTTTTTTAGCTATCTGACTTGGTATAGAAAAGTGCTGTTTGTGCATTGCCCTTGCGAAAATAATCCTCTACCTATGTTACTGAACCAAATAGTCTGGATTTCTTAGAGAACAGGTTATGCATTCACTACCAGCCAAGCCAGAAAACTAGTTCTGTTATATGAAGATGATATTCCTTAAAGGAAGCTGTACAAAGAACGGGATAAAATTTGACTATGAAGATGTCTGGTGAGAAAATGCATTCCTATGTTCCAAAGCCTGCTGTAGTTTCACTAACTCTTCTGGAATCTTACCTCACAGCTTACTCCACAGGGCCTTGTGGCACCTGGAGGAAGCACGGGAGAGAAAAAGAATTAAATGTCTTCAGAAGTGTCTGCTGCCAGTAGAATTCCTATCACACACTACTTGAAAGCAAAGAAATGTTTACACAGGACTTTAGCTAGTACTTGCTGTCACAACAGTGAGAACAAATGTGAAAAGAATAAGGCTCTGCTGCTGTGATTTAAATTCTGAATTGTGTAAACAAACTTGCAGAATATTGATAGATGTATTTTGAGGGTTGTTGGGCTTTTGGGTGGGGGTTTGTTTGTTTGTTTGTTTTTTTTTGCTTAGTTTGAATGTGACTGGATTTCTGCGTTCTGCAAGCATTACTTTGTTCTGAAGGGCTCTGATGCCCACATCCCAGGAGGAGTAATACTGAAACTTAAACTTTCAGCAGCTGTCAGGAGAACCAAATACTCTTGGCCAGTATTAGGGATAGCTGAAATGCTCTATGGGAGGAAAGTATTTCTATTTTATATTACATAGTTAGAAAAGATAGCAGCAGAGTCAATGTTTTAGGAGAAGAGCTTTGTGCTCCTTTCTCCTGTATGTAGTTGAGATGTGCTAGGGGAAGAAGTGGATTCAACATCGTCCTATAGGGTGTTGCCCATTCTTTAAAAACCAGAAGCTTTGGCCTTCCAAGCTTGTTTCAAATAACTTTTTTGTTTGTTTTTAACTAGTGTTCACATCAGCAAAGGAGGCCAATTTATTCATTGGACGACATCTTCTGAACAACAGATTTGATTTTGAAGCATTCACGCCTGATAACCTGGAAAGAGAATGTATGGAAGAGCTGTGCAGCTATGAGGAGGCCAGAGAAGTTTTTGAAGACACTGATAGAACGGTAGTTGTTCAAACAATGTAATGCACTGAAAGAGAATGCTGAATAGATGATTGCTGTATTTCAATCCTGTAGCCCTGAAAAAATAGCACAAGTGAGACAAATGCTTGTTCTATAGTGGCAGTAGAGGCCCAAATTAGATGGAATTACTGCTCTAGATACACAGTGAATGGGCTTGCATATGCACTATTCCCTTCAAGACTTCAGACAAGGGCTCCAATTCTGTGACAGAAATGTAAATGAAACTTCACAAGTATCTCTTGTCATAGAAGAGTTATGCCTACACATATCTACACATTTCAGAATCTCACTGTTTTTCTTAGCAATTTGTCAGCATCCAGGTTAAATGCATTCATGAGCTCCATGTATTAATTGGCTGATTTCATCCCTGTCTAATGCCAAGTGTTTTGTAAGACAGGAGTACAAGCTACATCTACAGTTTAGCTATTGAAGAGTATTCCTGTAGAATCATCTTCTAAATTGCTGCATATATACAGCTTGGAATAAAATTTTTATTAAAAGAGGAAATACATAAAAAAAACCTTTTGGCCCAGCAGTAGAACATAATGGCTGTCTGAAGACTGACTCAGTGCAGAAAACAGTACTCTCTTCTTGACCTTAGATGTGCTCTGCCCTAACTCAGAAAGGGCAAGAAACACCTGAAGTCGAAAATGTTGGTTTGCAATTGTGAAAGCATTAGATCAGAATCTTGCTGGAGTTTTTTGCTGTCTATCAAATAATCAAGGCTAAATGCTGCTGTACAGCAATCGCGCAACGTAAATGTTTTTCTCTAATATGAATTCAAATGCTGTTCATGTGAATGTCTGATTCTTAAGAACTTGCTTTACTCTTTTGTAGGGATTTAGGAAGGTTAGCTGCAGGCATTTTTTGTATCAAAATATGTGCTAGCCTTTGCTGTAATCAGGCAAAAATATCTCTGTATGAGCTAACATCAGACAGTTAATGCAGTTTTGTTGTTCAAATCTGGTATTATCGTCTTTCTGAAGTTGCGGTTTTTATGCAAACTTGAGTGTATGACAAAAATATGCTGGGATAAGCAAGTTCAAATCCTTTAGCAAGAGTTGCTTCCATTCATGCCGTTGCTGAATTTTGCTACAGTGCTGCATTGAAAAAAAAATGGTCAATAAGCCAATTATGGATCTTCTTAACATCTGCTCCTTTGTATTTTTAAAGACACAGTTTTGGAACGACTATTCAACTAAAGGTCCTAGAATAAAAACAGGTAAGAAACCCTTTTCTTCTTTTCTCATATTGCAGTATTTTATGTTTATTCTAATACATCCTGCATTCAGAGAGCAGATCTACAACTCAGTCAAGGTCACAAGTACATGAAATAATATTTGGAAGGCACTGGAGGAAAGACTTCTTCCAAGTTTCACGTACAGGAAAGGAAACGTCTGCTCACTTGCTTTAAGATGAACGTGAACAGCAATCTTAGGTTGGATTGCACAGATATCATGGCTTCTCAGAGCAAGCTAGACATTTGTGACAAAGAACAGCACAAGAAGAATAGTACTTCACAGTATAAACTGTCAAGAACACAGAAAGAGCCCTATCTGAAAATAGCCCATGTTTTATTTTCAGGTGATGAAACACTACAAAAAATAAACGTTACAGGACTTCTAATTGGTCCAATTGCTGCTGGAGGAATGTTAGCCATAATTGGACTACTTATCTTCTACTGCTGCAAAGATAGATGTAAATCAAGGCAACCACCAGGGTAAGGAATTTCATTGCTTAAAAGCAAGACAAGCAGTTTGGTCTCTGAGGGTGGCATTTAAAAACCACTAGTGGTTGGTCTGACTGTGTCCTCGGGGAAGCCAGTAGGAAACTTCTGACTTTCCTGGAAGCAAAATTATAATGGTAAGCACTAGTTACTCTGAAGTTAATCAGTAACACATAAGCATAGAGCAACAGAACAGCACTCGCATGGCTGACATAACTTCTGGTCATTGTTTTTTTTGTTTGTTTGTTTTGTGTGTGTCATCTTAAATCCGAAACACTGAAATACAGCATCACTTAATAGGGTGGGGCCTACAATGGAAGGTCTAATGTGTTTTATTTCATGCTTAAAAGTAGATTTCATGCCATAAGGAGCATATACTCCATGTCAGATGTGAAAAGAATTAGGTTGGAGAAAATGCTTCTCTGCTAATTCTCTAGCCCTGATCGTTCCTTCATCATAAACTTCAAGGAGCACAAGAGGACTCTCTGTTCTCTTCTCCCTGTAAATTTAATGAACTATTCCTACAGTGTAGCTTGAAGAGAGTATTTGGATTCTGGTGTTTCTGATCATTAAGGGCAAGGGTGTTTGTTTTGTTTGGGGTTTTGTTAGTTTGGGTTTTTTAATTTTGCAAGAGTGACGACTTCTTTCTTTCCTTGTTAAAACAAAAGCCACTGTTTATGAATGCTTTTGATGTCACTTAGGCATTTGGATCATGGAAGAAGCAGAAGACGTAGTTCGACTTCCATCTTCAGAAGGCACGAAGAACTTTCTTTAAATCCACTTCCTCCCAGACCTGATGATTCAGGACTACCAACTTATGAGCAAGCAATTACTGCAGGCGGGCAACATGACGCACCTCCGCCCCCCTACCCAGGGCCCCCAAAATGGGTACGGGCGTTTAGGAAGTCTATGTCACTTCCTGCCCCTTAGCTACAAACCTCCTCCTAAAGGGAGGAGGGATCACTGAGGTATAACAAACTTTTAAAAAGTTCACTACCTTGCATATTGCAAGATGGTTTACAGAAATGTGAAAGATTGTTAGCACAGCTAGGAGCAAATCAAGATCCCCTTGGGACAGTGAACTGTTGCAAAAGCTGCAGAACCATTCTTTGCACAAGGGTGTTTCTCTAAGAAGAGAGAATGTATGAAGAGTAAGTCTTGTACTGCCCCTCTTCCACACGCACTTTGAGCCATGCCATCATATTATTGATGTTTTATTAATAGTTTTATCTTGTTTCTTTAGAAGGAACATTATTTTAATTGGTTTTATTGACAGTAACCATTTTTTGGTGACTTAATACTTTCAGTCATCATCATAAGTCTGCTGTGTTGTTTGACATTGCTGCTGTATGGATTTTCTATTCATTCTAGTAATAGATTTGAGTATGAAAATCATGCAATGAGTTTATCTTGCAAGTGTGAATATATTTCTGCTTCTGGATTACAGTGGTTCATTTTAGACTATGCTGGTAAGCATTACTTAATTTGATGTATTTTTGTGATTATTATTTTGGATTAAAAAGAGTAATTAGTTGCATGGCACATTGCACACTCAACAAAAATGTATGTTAATCAAAAGCTTTTTTAAGTTCTTTATTACGAGAGTGGTGAGGGGCTGGAACAGCTGCCCAGAGAGGCTGTGATGCTCTGTCCATCCCTGGAGGTGTTCAAGGCCAGGTTGGATGGGGCCCTGGGCTGCTGTGAAAAGTGGAGGTTGGTGGCCTTGTGTGTGGCAGGGGTTGGAGATTCATGATCCTTGAGGTTCCTTCCAACCCGGGCCATTCTGTGCTTCTGTGATTTTGATGCTCCAGCTTGTTATTTAGAGAAAAATATCGAACAAGTAGAGTACTATGGGCCTTTGGAAGAGACAGGAAGAATGACAAATATAAATTAAATGGAAGTGTTAGCAGCACTTTCAAAGAGAGGGATTTCACAGGGCTCGTGAAAGTTCAGATTCTTTAGCAATTAAACTACAGAAATAGTACAGAAACTGCAAAAACTGCACCTTCTGTAGAGTGTAACACTTCATATGTAATCAGCGAATCTGCAGTTCGGATCCTGAAGGTACTGAAGATATGCAGGCTGACATTCAGATAGTGGTTATGTGCAACGTAGCAATCTGCAAAGGACATATATCATTAAAATAAGCACAACTTAAGCTTACCTCATCTTAGGTGGGGAAAGAATTCCCAAGCAGTTCACTCGTTGCCTGTTTTCTAAATGAGATTCTGAGGAAAAACTACACGGTACTTCATTTCTCTCAGAACAGGTTCAAACATGTCACAGTACTTCAATGCTGTTAGCCATCACCTTGGCCCGTTTCCCAAAAGTCAGTTTCCGTGTTGTCCTTTCGACATCATACAGGGTTACATCATGCAACCTCTTACAAATGTGGACAGGTGATTACTTACAGCAAATAACTGAGGCTCACAAAAGTAGTCTCCAACTCTGCTACGTGTTTTCTGCATCAGCAAAACAAGAGAGCCTACTATTTCATTTCTCAAATGCTCTGATGAGAAACATTATAAACATGACATGTTTTAGGTTTTTCATAAGTGGGTGTGCGTGCACGTGTGAATTCACTGCAAGAACAAAAACAAAGTGCCACGTGGAAGTGTATTTCCTCACTGCAGGTCAGGAAAATGTGAGTCATGAAGCATTTGACTCTGGTTCTATCGAAGTCTACAGCAATCTTTTTTATTGGCTTCAACTGCTCTGGGATTGGAGCCAGAAATGTAAGAACTGATCGCTTCTGTTAATAAAAATGTACTGTGCTGCCACGTTATTTAAAAACAATACTGTTCCCAAACCTGATTTAAATGTTATTCTGTTGTCCTGCTGACGCCCACTAACATTAAAAACTGCAAAAAGTCTGGTTTATTTAAAACCTCCCCTGCCAACAGAAGTTTTACTGCTGCTGTCCTCACTTGTTCCATGCGGGGAAGAAGAGGAAAGAAACCCCAGGTGTGAAACTCATCTATCAGACACTTCAAGTTCATTCTCTTTGCGTTGGAAATATATTCATTCTTGTACTGTACAAATTTATCCCTGCATCATTTTCACAGTTAAGAAATTTCACATTTTCCCCTCAGATGCGTTCAGCGCATCTCCACAAATGCCGTGCTCTTCGTTCAGTGGTAGCTTCTGCTTGCAGTAGTCTCTGAGCTGTGTGTTCGGTTTTTGTGACTTCATATATTTCAGCCCTCCCTCTGCCCACCCAACACAGCCTTTTGAATGCACTTGCCCTAGTTATCTTTTCATTCCAACTTTAAGTGCTGGCATTTTGGGGGGAGAGGCAGCAATAGTTAAAACACTGCTAGTCTCTATTCTCTTGCAAAACGGTTTCCAATGAACATCTGCACATTTCTTGGAATTTAATTCAGCCTATGATAAAGTTTTTAAAAAAATCAACTCTTTGCTGTGCTGTAGAGCCCCTGTCAGTGGGGAGATGACATGGTTTGTTTTCTTTCAACAAAAACTTCCCACTTCACCACTCTGAATGGTGAACAACAGGCTCTGTACATGAAGTCTTCAGGACTGGACGAGGTTGTGTACCCTTCCACCTTCCTCTGATTCTCACCAGACCTTTGGTTGGAAGCTTCAATACACTGACATGGCAAAAAAAACACCCACTTTCTTACGGTTAGTGAAGTGAGCAAGATCACATCAGGGAGCACCAAAACAGGTGTGCAAAAGCAAAGCAGGAAGAGAACTTCATTGTTCAGTAATAGTGAGTTCAGACTGAAGAAGGTATGCACTGAATGCGGGGAGCAACTTGCCAAGTTGCACATGTGTGCAGCTCCCAAGGCACAGCATGGTGCAGAGTAACTTTACAGGAAAACAAACAAACACATGGACTGTGTGATTGCACTAAATTAAACCACTCTCTTTCACCCACAGCAGAAATAAAACAGCTAGATTTGTACTTCTAACCACACAAGACGAACTGAACAAGCTGGTTAAAAACTCAGAGCATAGCGAAGATTCAAAGATACAACAAAGCAGTCAACTGAACTGAGACCCAGAATACGGCTGGTGGGGTGTAGGTTCATTCACATTAAGCCAAGCACACGGATGTATCAGAAAAAATACTTCTGTCTAGAAACTGGCGTGTTTTGGAAAGACCTCAGAACAGGTTTTAAACTTCTGATGCAGCGCCAATTTCATTTAAGGAATAAGAAACGCCTCTGATCACCCAGGTTGTTCAAACACCTTCAGTGAAATTCTTCAAGTATCAAAGCCTACTAAATAAATATTGGTAATTGAATGTCCAGTACTTCATGGTAAACACTTAGCTTGGATGCGATACAAAGGATGGTTTCTGGTAAGAGTTAAAATAATCCTTGTCAGATCACGAGCTTGTTTGAGAGCAAAGGCTTTTATTTAAATTCCCTTTTTTCCTAAATCTCACTGCATTTCTCCCACTGGCCTTGCACAAGTTCTAAATCATAGTTCATAAATTTGAACGCGCTCATCCAGCAAAAACAAAGGGGGTACGTGGGTTGAACTAACTCCAGAGTGAGCAGTTGTGGAACCACGTGAGCAGGAGGAGGACTGGGAAAAGGAAGGACTTTGTTCTCATTGGCACAGTGTGCTTTGTGCCAGCTCACACCTCCAGTGCCATAATTTTGTAGCTCAACTTCAGTTATCTTCCTGAAGATTGTGATTCCTTTGTTTGAGATTATACCCAAGCTTTTTTTTTTTTTTTTTTTTTAAATCAAATAAAGGCACTGAACATAAAGAAATGCAAAGAGTACTCGCCCTGAGGCTCCTGGATAAAGTGTGCTCTTTGAAAGGCAGCAATTTCTTCCCTATTTACATATCTACTAGTGTCTAGTTTGACATTTCAACAGGCCAAGTGCCAAGTAAAATGCAAAATCTAATCTGTTAAGCGACTGCAATTTTCTGCTTTGATCAGGATCACAGTCACAATTGCACCTAAAAGAGCAGAGATCGGTAATAGGCTTGAAAAGACTCGTGATAGTCCAGCCTAACACCTGATGCACTTCTCTTTACTTCTAATGGAAGATACGGGAGCTTGGCAGCACGTACACCTACACAGAGTCCACACTAAGGCCCTATACCCATGTTCCATAAACCCATACCTAATGTCTGTTCAACGGAGAAGAAAGAAGCCGCAGAAATTTTATCCTGCACTCTTTTCAAAATCTGTTAATCAGTCCCAGCTCAGCTTTGGCCCAAACTTCTTCAAACTTCATCTGGTCGCGCATACTCACATTATTTGGATATTTTTAATCATGGAACATTAATTTTCATAAAAATGTCAGCAGGTCTCCATCAATCTTCAAAGCCCATTCTCTCGGGATAAGGCTAATTGCTGAGCACTTCTAGAGTGTTTGCTGGCAAATGGAAAAGCGTTAGTCACTGTAAGCAGCCACCAAGACGTCTGTGTGTGTCAGCGAGCTATTTACGACGCTGTGATAGCTCCAGAATAAAGCACTATCATGGTCTGAAATATGATCCTTTCATCCACTTCCACCAACTTTGTCATAAGCTCAGACTTGCAGAATTAGCTGCGTGCTGTGCTTTAACCACTTTCTCTGCTGAGCAGCTGAAGCTGCTGGTCAGCTTGCTGATCCAGCATGTGCCTCTGACTCCATGCTTTTGCCATGACTCTTCTCAGAGCATCCAAATTGCCCTACAGCAAATCAATCATTTTGCTGCAAAAGCAGCAGCTACATTGAAAACTTCTTCATGCAAGAAAAAGAAAAAAAAGAAAAGTCTCTGGTTAAACACGTGGGAAAAGCTGAGATAAGAGCAAAACCCGGCATCTTCTGTTATGGAAAGGCACAGGACAGAGGCAGTGCTCTCTGTAAAAGAAGGCAGTGTTTGTGGACAGACACTGGAAAAGCCTGGTAGAGCCAGGTTCGTTGTACCTGCGGTTAAAGGGATGCCAAAAGCGCAGGCAGCAACTGCTGGCCCTGAGAAGAATCGCTCCATTCAGTACCACCTGCTGCCTTGTGCACAAAGGCCCCGAGTGGGGCTGTCCTGGTATTTGACATCTGTGGACTGTTCAGGCTGTACATACCAGGGAACATTCTGCCGGGCCAGATACAATAGGAAAACACTTGATCACACTCAGCAGATGCATTAACATAGGTGCTAACAGCACTGAGAAACCAATAAGTCAATAAATCGGTTACAAAAAAATGTCAGGTGGTGCTTTATTCTGGCCTGTGACTGACTTACTGATCTTAATTATGACCAAATCAGATTTTTATGACTAATTACTGCCAAATCAAAATTTTGATGACAGTGACCGAAACTACCCATTACTTGGATCCTACATTTCATTTGGCAAATGGCCACTTTAAAGATAAAACTAAAGTGACATTGCCTTCAAGCATTATGTACCATTAGGTTAAAGAAAAGGGCAGGCATATTAGCTTACAGTCCTGCCAGTGCTGCCTTGATTCTGGCTAAGCATAGGCTAAGCTTGGAGACATACTCTCCAGCACTCAGTACAGAGATTCCTATACTGAACACAACATGAGCCACCTCAACATCTTGTCATCAAGAGCAAGCTTCCTGCTTTTTCTCGTCACGTCCTTCCTCTCCCACCTGCTTCTGGCTGTGCAGTACCACTCCTTGCCCTGAACCACTATTTGTGTGACG